ACCCCCGAGGTCATACAAAATGTTGTACGAGAATTCCAAAATCGCCTCGGTTATTGTCAAGAAGTTAATGGTGGTCATTTTGAACATTTAATTTAATTGTAAAGTACATTGAAAAATACATTCTAAATATTATTTGGCATTATTATCTTCATTCTACGTAAAGTTTTGTGATACCTAGAGACATTATCAAAATTTTACATCCTAAAAATCAATTTTCTCAGTTATGATTACATCAAACAAAAAAACTTTATATTGCTGAACAGAGGACTAAAATCCCTTTCCAACAAGGTGCCACATGACTCCTTTTGCTATTAAAAATTTTTCGAGGGGGTGCTTATAATTCAGAAGGGATACTGGATTATTTTCATACTGTGAATTGTCAATTCAAGAATAAAAATCGACCTGTTTCAAGTGTTTTTCACATAGTACATAATAACGGTAAAAATTAATTAATTCCATACCTAAATGTGGACCGCACTGTATAATAAATAACCTTAGTGATCCACGCGCATGTTAGCTTTTAAGGATTTTCTCTGTGTTTGTTTACTTGCATTCTTCAATAATGACTTGAAAGTGCATGTATTGATTCTTTGATGAATAAATATTAATATTATCTGTATTTGTTGCAGATAAAGATCGCTAATTTCATTATCATTGTTCATGAATCATATCCAGAGGCTCACGTAATTGAGTATGTTAATGAGTGGATTTGTTTTCCAGGACACACTAGACAAGGACTCAAATGTAGAATATGCAAGATGAACGTTCACGTTGATTGTCAAGACAAAGCCTCTAAATGTCAAACAAAAGCGCGGCTACTCAGGAGACAGAAATCTACTTCAGAAATTGAAACTAGAGTTCCGGAACTGAATCCTGACGATGAAAGTGAGTTTGTCAGTAATTGGTAGTTAGACTCAGCCTATTGGAATTTGATATAATTGTCAAAGTTCAGGAAGTGTAGGGTTTGAGGTTTCTGTTACTCTATTGAAGACCTTACTTTGAATATTTTTTCCGATTTGGTTTCATGGGAAAAGATCGATCTTTCCTGAATTATCTTCTTTGTCTCGTTCGATTATTACGAGAATATAGCGTCAATAATACCATGAAATCAACTGTTGTCATACAAACCATTTCTTTTTTTTTTGTAGCATATACAGTGCGGATGTAAGAAGTCCTCCACTCAACTTTTAAACTTAAGAATATACTGAAGAAAATATCGTTTTCAGTACTTTCCGTAGAATTAAAATATTCTTCTGGTAATAGAAACCTCGCCTTGTACTTTCTGACAGGTTCAACAGAAATGATACAATATCATAAATGATTACGATTTGTCATGATATTTTCATTTCCTCACTTGTTTCCGACAATAATAATCATTATATTTTCATACTTTCTTCGTTAACCTTTCAGAATTACAGTTTCACAAGCATATATGGGCTGTTGAACAATTGGGTTGTCTTTAAGAGGTTTTAGATTTGATGAAGAACAGCGGTACAGAAAGCAAATGACGTATTCGAGAGTTTCATAATATACTCTTATCATTTTTCAATATTGAGGATATTGAAAGATATTTTGCACTTTTTTTTTCAAGGCAAGTATCCTCAACCGTATTCAGATTACCTACTGGAAAGGTTCTTGAACACTCAACATTTTTTACACAATTTAGACTTGGAAAGTTTTTGTGAGACTCCAGTACCAATGATCTATTTTGAAACACCCCAAAATCGTTCCAAATTCGAAGTCGAATATGCTTATTTTTATTTTAAAAATTGATATGCCATATATTCATAATTTCCACCTAGCGAAACATCAGTTTCTCAGCAGTATAATATTTTGGAATTATTCTCTACAATATTTATATTTTCCTTGATTATTTCCAAATCACTGAAAATGTCGATGATTCTGATCCCAATAGTCCAGGCAGCTTGTGTTTTTTTTGCGAAAAGTTTTGCAAGAGTTTCGAAAATTGCTTCTAAATAGTATTTTGTGCTGTTGAACACGAATCTGAGGTTTGCCAACAAAATTTATCAGGGAAATATGTTTTTTGTGCAAAAATTGTTAAAAAAATTCGTAGATAAAAAACAGTTGACACTGACAGTTGTTCTGTGATTCGATTTGAAAGATCGTTCGTTTGTAAGTTTATGTTTCAGAGTGGAACAAAAGAGAAAAGTTATGGTGCAAGTGTGATCAGAGTCAACTGCTGTTTTGTGAGATTATTAATGAGAAAACCCAATGTCAAAAGCATACAATTATTTAATAGAGTGAAGTAAAAGTCTGGCTTTGGGAAGTTGTGTTGTGTTTTGATTTGACAAATCAAACTTCAAATCCTTTTTGTGAAATTTAACATATATATATCGTTTATATGTACGAAATGATATTTATGTGTGTTTGTGTATAGTGTATATTAATAGTAATATGAATGTTAAAATTGTCACCATCTTCATTCTTCAATCTTCGAATTCTTCGAATGGGTTAGTGAGGACTTTGAGAACTCTAGAAAATTTAGAAAGTTGTGACTGTCAAAATACTGCTTCTCTGCAATCCCCAAATTATTGTATCTTCGATTTTCTTACGTCCTCAACTTTTTCGAGGGCCGTTCACTAGGATCTGGATCATCTGTGAAAGAAAAAAATAAAAGCAAAGAATCAGTGAAGGGAGTTGAATTTCAATAACGGATTGAGTAGTATTGAAATATTGCAAGCATTTACCTTTTGAGTTCTCTCCTTGTGAAATATCCAACGGCAACAAATCGTCCATCTCAGTCTCGGCTTCCTCCTTGTCCTGCCCCTCATTTTGCACTGTTTCAATGTTATTGCAGGTGCACCCACAATTTCACTGGCAAATTGTGGTGCACTTACACGAAATCAGCTTTAGAAGCGCAGCTGGGGGAGCAAGCGTGATCACTGGCTCTAAGCCTGATACCGCTTTTTTCCAACTCCACTCCTCAGGGTCTCTTTCCACACCAAGCCAGTGCTACCTGGTGGTAGACCCTGAGAGAGTGCTCCTTCGCTGCAGCAGCACTAGGTGAAGGAGATGAACCTCAGGTGGTTGAGGGTGGGTGTGGTTTTTCTTGTGTAACCGTACCGGGAAACCAGAAAACGTTCTCCTGTGGCGATTACTGCTTCTTGGGAGGCGTTGGGGTTTTTGAAGATGTTGATCACGTTTCCTAGGCTGGGGTTTTTCTAAAGCGTATTTGAGAATTTCGTCTTTCCTTGCCTGAAGAGGGCAGACGTCGTATCACACCCGCTCATCGCGTATAAAAAGAGAATGTGGTTTTAACTGGGGATGCGCACGCTTCTAGCGGAGAATACAAAGCTGTCTCCTTTCCAGGTTTCAGAAAGAAAACGTTGTTGGCCTGTGTGAGTCCAATCAAAATGACCACTGTCTTGTTAGAAGCAGCCAATGACAGTGCTGTGGTGACAATGAGAGTGTCAGCATCTTCTTTTGCCTGTTTGTACTGCAATCTAGCAGATGCGAATACCGACGAAAGCATGGCTATCAGCTGCACTGCTTATGACTAGCGGTTTGACTCAGTCATTCCTTCAGAGTTACATTCCCGTGTCAAATTGCCGAAAATCCTGATTTTTGGATTTTTGAGGGTTTTCCCTCACTTTCAGCGTTCTCCCATGCCTCAATGGTTGACCGTGGAAAAAAAAATTCAATAACTTAAAATGTAGGAAATTTTATCTTCTTTTTTTTGTATGGGTGATCTTTCTACACAAAATATGTAGTATTCGAGTTATTCGCAAGAAATCAAAACGAAGTCGATTTTTTTCACAATTTTTGCAAAAAAAAACATATTTCCCGTGAAAAATTTTGTTGGCAAACCTCAGATTCGTGTTCAGTAGCCCAAAATACCATATAGAACCGAATTTCAAAACTCTTGCAAAACTTCCCGCAAACTGCCCTTTTTTGACACAAGCTGCCTAGAGTACAATGTCAATCCATCAGCAAGAGAAAATTGTACTGCCAGGAAATTCAGGATAATAAAATATTTCAATTTCATTATTCAGTTCACCTACTCCAATGTACAATACTGAAAAATGGTAACACAAAAAATTATTCAAAATTTTGAATACCCATTCAGAAGATCTTTTTTTCCATTTGATGATGAACAAAAAGTTTGACTAGAAATACGAATACAGGATATAATCGAATGCTCAGAAGCAAAACAAGATGAATTTATTTTCTTTACTTTATCAACCTCTCAAATAGTATGAAAGCTTTTTTTGGCCGTGGTTTTTATGCATGACGTTTTTCCTACTACTGCGGTAGACAATATCAAAGGCGATGTGGTAACGGTCCCACTACCCGAGTTGGTGCTTGAGTTGTTGTATTCATTGTTTTGACCGCATCAACAACATTGGTCGCTGCTGATCAAGTGCTTATTGATTTTTGGGGTTGTGTTAGTGATTTACAATGTACATTCATGTATAAGTTGGGGCCTTGCTATAAGCTTGTGCCTCATCAGGGTAACAGTTATTTAATCTTATCTATTTATGATGCACTGTTTGGAACCTTTGGTGTAGTAATGAATATTACTGGAGTTCTTTTCCAACACCAAATCGTTATTTTTAACACTTCGACAATCTTCAAGAGAAAGATTAATCTTCCTCTTGAAGATCATCACTTGGTAATCGAAACACGTGTCGAGGTGTTAAAAATAACGAGTTGGTGTTGGGAAAGAACTCCAGTAATAATCTTTAATCTTATCTATGTTAGTGTTCGTATGTTTTTCCTTTGTTTCGTTATGGTGTCCTGGTCCATAGCTGTGGACGTTGTTCGAGGAGTATTGGTTTGTGTTAAGCCAGGGGTGGTATGGTTGAGTCTTCAGAGTGTTCCAGGCCTTGTACTGTTCGCCATCTGATATCCAATGGATATCCCTCTAGGATGTTCCGGATCTGCTCCGTAGGGTCTTCCACTAACCCCAGTAGCCTGGCTGGGAGGAACGAGAGCTTTTTTCCTAGTATTCTTTTGGCGTCTCCACGGGGCCTTCACGGGCCTCCAGGGGGTAGTCAGGTTGCTGATAGCCGTGGTGTTGTGGTTCCTCATGGTTCTCGATACGTATCGGCCTTGGAGTTCCTGAAATCTCAAGCTGATTGGGGTAATATCTATTCAGTTATATAAGTCTTGGGGGGATATCGGTATGGAAGGTTATGGATATTTCTTAGGATGTTTAGTATGTGGAGGATTTGTTTCTGGGAGAAGGTGCAGTAGAGGGTGGCTTTATGGTCCACGATCGGTCTCATAAATATTTTGTTGCTTGCCTATCAGCGCTTTTAGGAGACTAGCCCTTTTTCGGACTTTGTCCAGGATTTCTCTGAGATCGGTCTTCCAGTTGAGAGTACTTGTGAAAGTAACCCCCAAGTAGGACACCGAGTTTTGGAGGTGGAGGTTCTGTCCCAACAGTCTAAAGTTCAAGTTGTTAGTATTCTGTTTGGGGCAGGTAGTGGTATAATGGTGTCTAAATGGAACGGTTTGGGTTTAAAGGGGGTTTATTTCGATGCGCTACTTGTTGCACCAGTGCTCAAAGTGGTTTATCATTGTTTGGTATTGTGTTTGTAGGATATGAATGCTGGTGGCAGGAAAGTGAAGAATTATGTCATCTGCGTATTGTAGGATATTTTGAGTAGAGGGAGAGTCGTGCACATAGATCAGGAAAGGAGAGGGTGCTAGGACTGAGCCCTAGAATCTCCGGTTTTGGGGGTGGGAGCATAGGAGAGGGCTTCGCCGACTTTCACGCGGATTTGTCGGTTGGTAAGATTGGAGGCTACTAGCTCAATGAAATGGAGAGGAAGTCGGATTTAAATACGTTTCCAGATCACGCCCGCTGCCACACCTTATCAAATGCTTTTTCGATGTCTAGAAGGAAAAATTAATGTTTTGGGCATTTACTTCGACTAGTGCGCTTTGGATGGAGTGTTTGGGTCCGAAGCCATATGGGTGGGGAGGGATGATGTTGTTGTCATGAATGAAGTCATCCAATCTGTTAGTGATTAGTCTTTCTAGAAGATTTCCGAGAACAGTAAGGAGACTGATGGGTCTATATGAGTCGTGTTTGGTGAGGTCTTTTTGACGTTTGGAGATCAGGATAGTATTTGCCTGTTTCCAGGCTGATGGGAAGTATGTAGGTCTTAAACATGCGTCTAGGACGTGTTTGAGGTGTATCAGGGCGGGGTCGGGAGGATTTTTCAGGATACGGCATTTCATTGAGTCAAGGTCAGGGACGGTATATCTACCACGATTGATGGCTTGAAATATGTCTCTCTCGCTGAAGAAGGATCTTACGGGACAGTTTGAGTCAAGGGGGATTTGACCAGCATGTCTGCTCAGAGGAGCGGAGACTTGCTGTTGGACATAGTTTAAATGACGGTTTACGGTGGTACGTAAAATACGTACGTATTTGACTCTAGTTTTATATTATTTATCAGTGGACGTGGCTCGGTTTCTCCTAATTAGATGACCTGTATATAATTGAGGACACATAACGTTCATTGCCTCTTTTCTCTTTTGAAATTATCATTGTATTTTTCATTTCTATTGCCTCCGTATATACTCTTGGATGTTGATTTCGAGTTTCATCGAGTATTACTGTATTTTTTAATGAGATAATGTGAGTACCTTCTTTGTTGAGAGCATCTTCAGCTGCAGCTGATTTGTCGGTTTGTATAATTCGATAATTCCTCTTGTGTTCAGAGAAACGGATACTTACACTTTTCTACGTGGTACCAATGTGAACCGATACACAGCTACAAGTGATATCTTGAAGAAACACAACGTGAGACAAATATTTAGATCAACAGAAACTATAAGACAAAGTCTGAGGTCAGCTAAGGATTTTAGAGATTCTTTAGCAACATCTGTGGCATACCTTGTAGCTGCGAGTCGGTCTACATTGGAACCACGAAAAAACGTGTGGGAACCCATATCACTAAACGCTTTGATAATATCTACCGCAAAAAGATACGAAACGTCAGGCATCAAAACCTTCAGACCACGGTCAATAAACTCGGAAAATAACTCTCACACAGTCATCTCCGGCCGTGAAAGTTTACATTTTCTCAAATAATCTTCTGCCATCTAATGATTACATTCAAAATTCTTGGATTCAACAGCCTGTATATGTCAGGATCTTTGAAATAATACTATACACAGAGGATTGAAACCGCACAAGCGAGTTTCTAGAACTTAACACATTTCATTGGATCGTTTTCTGTAGGGATAGCAGAGGTATACTCAATGCCAACAATAAACAGGCGGTTATCGATAAGGAACAACAACCGACTGTGTCCACCTCCCAACAATAATATTGATTTAGGTATTGTCACAGAAGCTGTGTATGTTTCCATGTTGACTGTATGATTTTTAACCACTTGTTTTTTATATTACTACTAATTTTTCAGAAAGCTGGTTCGCTAAAAATTTCTGACATTATTGTTACTCAGCCTCATTATTTTTTGTTCATTCCCAATAATTGTTTAAATAAATGAAACTGTTACCAAATCATAGCTCAACTTCTCATGATCAATTTGTATTTTTCCTAGAGTAGACCCGACAGACATGTGACTCTTTGAATTTGAAATTTCAATTCAAATATTGAAAAAATATTGTTTTTGACATTCTCTTTCAGGCTCCTAGCCAACCAGCTTTTAGTCGTATCACTTCCATATGTATAACAACTGTCATCTTCAGGCTTCACGCGCATTTCGGGCAATTTTGGTTACAAAATTCATCCACTATAAGTACCCCAAATGCTTTTTTTAGCGGTGACGTTTTCAACTTCATTTGTCTATTGAAAACTATATTCAAACTTTCTGGATCCAGAAAAAGCAGAGTATTATAACGGCGCGGCGTTGCTGCTATTTGCTAAAAACTAAAACTATGAGTATGGTATTGCTTTCTTGGTTTCAACTCTACTGGTTTTTTTGAATAGTGTTCATTCGAAATAAAATTCATCTTCATCATCGATGAGTTGCCAAAGAGTTCTCTTGATGAGTGAACGATACTGCGAAAGAACACCTCGACACGTGTTTCGATCACCAAGCGATCATATTCAAGAGGAAGAATTAACTAAATCTATATACAATGTTGTTCTCATTTATATCATAGATACCTTTTCTAGGTACCTGCGTCTAAATTGTCTTGAAATTGATTCCACAATGATGCCTTATCTACTAGTCAAGTAAATCTGATAACTGAAAATATTATTTCAACAAGCTATATAGTAAACTATTGGGTATTGTTGCATCATCGTTAATCATTATGTTTATAGTATTTCCAATACCAATTGAAACAGCACAGAGAAAGAATTCCCGCCTTGACATAGGCGTCGGCATATTAGTTTTCAGTGGTAGTTTTCCAGTTACTCATTCTTACAATCATAGCAATTGATCACCCCATGAAAAAGTTATCTCAACTGAATTTTCCCACCATGGGTAATTATGAAAAACTTCGAATGTTGGAATCTTTTCGGGTATTTCCATGTCATGATTTCGCATGAAATCAACAATATCTGCTTTTTTGTGAGTTATTGTTTGGTATCGTAGTCAATAACCGAGAATGATACGAAGCGTTCTCCATCACAATAACAGAGTTTGGGGGAATATTTGGGAAAAGCTGCTCACTGGACCAGGTTTCGAATGAGGCCGCAATCATATCCTCAGCAGACGAATCTTTTATATTTTTGGCCGACAGAAGCAAAGCGTTAGGTACGAAACCACTTTCATTCCCAGCATGCAAAATAATAACACGTTTTCCCCTTGAAGAAGGTGTGTTCAAAACACAATACTTGATTTCATCTACCCATCCATATTTGACAACATCATGGGTGTCAAGCCAAGTTTCGTCGAGGTAGATTACATGTCTACTGGATTCTCGGTAGCTTTCCATTCGCCTCAAATATTATTGTCGGAATCGAACAATTCGTGTCGATTCCATTATGACCATCCGATTGTTCAATTTTCAATATTTGAAACCCCAAGACAATAAGACACGTCGTAGAGTTTCTAAAGATTTTGTTACGGTTCCCAAAATGCAAGAGCGGGTTTATAAGATAACAGAAAAGTAATGTATTGAAATCATATATTTATGCACAGCATCCACCCTGTATAACATTCAAAACAATTCAGTTCAGTTTTTTGTGCCTAAAGACAATCAGAATAATTCGACCTTGAATAACGTTGATAGGTAAAAAAAAAAGGAAAAAGAAAAGGGTTTTTTCTCTGGGAATGAGAGTTGAGTTTGGATTCAAATCCACTTTTTGGATTTGAAGAAACCAAAATATTCAATACGGGAATAAGTATATTTGGGTTATCTAAAGGAATAACTCGCCCACAGTATTGAGGATTTTTATTAAGTACCCGTTCTCTTGTCAAATTCCAATCTTCAGGTCACACAACAACTACGGTAAGAACCCACTTCCCAAAAATACCCTAAAGGTTTAATCTTTCTAAACTTCAACCTCATTTTAGGCCTTCTTATCACCACCTCAAGTCGATATTGTGAACTATATCCTGGTGTATCTCTCGCAAGGCTAGACAACTACACCCCTTTTATCTCTGATTACGGTCTTTCGAGGAGCAAGTTATCTGCAAGGAAAAGATCATTGCCTGAGTGGACTACAGGGGTTGGATCGTGCTGCTGGAGACTATTCTCCCATATCCCATGCATGTAAGGTCTTTCCTGTTATGTATTACACCCTCCCGCACGACCTCGAATCAACATTGCGGCACAAATTGCGAATTCTAGTATAAACCAAGTATTTACCACACCTTAAGTTCAATCACGAGTTGCTTACATCTATATCTGTGAACCCAAAAGTATACTTCTGGGCCATAAACCTGTAATCACCATAAGCTTGACGCGTTTAAAGAAACAATACACTTATCCTCCAAGTAGACTTATATTTAGCCACCATCCCTCTCCACTGAATTCCGGCAGCCCATAATTTAGTTCCAAAGTAACAAAGTAACCCGTTTCAATCTACGACAACGGATGTTACAATTTGTAATTGTAATCGGGATAGTCGAGTAATTTATACCAAAGCATTTCCAAGGTTGGTACTTTATTTTTTTGGTATAAACCATAAATTGTTCGCCGAATTACATCTTTAATAGCACCATCAACGTTTTCAAATTTTTCATTCCTTTGTTTTCGTTTCATTGCATGGTCAATGACATCCCCTATTTTAATGACTCGAAGAACTGTCGCATATTCTATTCACAATAGCATTCTGTGAAGTGTGATCTTTTTCCTTCTTCAATCATTTATGAATATTCAAAATTACTCGCTGAACTTGAACGTGTAAATCCTCATTTACAAATTCTGGATCCCTGTCGATTGACACAGATTCCTCACACGTAATGTTATCATCTGTCTGAAAAGGTCTCCAGAAAGCCATATTGATGAAAGTACCCAAAAACACTCAGATTTTCACAAAAATCGGTTTAAACGATGAGATTGGAACCTTTGGTGTAAAAGTTGAAAACTTTTTCTAAAGATCTATTACTCTAACACCAAACTGATATTTTTGCACTCGACGCGCGTTTCGCTAACAAGGTTAGCATCTTCAGGAGAAGCAATTGATACTGAATCTAAAGACAAGTGTTAGCTGTTTATACCGGGTGTCCCACATTTTATGTGACAGGCAATATCTGGTTTGTTGAAGGAGATACACAAAAATGTTTCATACAAAAGTTTTAGGAGTTCATGAGAGCTATATTTTGATATAATTTTTTAATATACAGGGTGTTTGGTGTAGGTGCTACAGACCAAAATTCCATTTTTTAAAATAGAACGCCCTGTATATCATTACATATTCAGATGCTACGTTAAATTCTGATATCATTTCATGTTTGGTTTTTGAAATTCG